AGGCCGAGAAAATAGACATCATCACCGAACCACCATACAACTTTGCGCCATTGCGATGCAAACCTCGCTGATGGGCGCTGCAGTTGGGCCTTGACAGTAGGAGAGTTCGGAACAACACTGTAATGAGTTTGCTCGCTCGACGACCCAGATTTCACATGAGATACAACACGTTTCAGGAGGCGATATAATAGGAAAAGAACAGCCGGTGCGAGGGCCGAGTAATGAGCGATGCAAGCATACAAGTCGAGTGTTTGGCGCCGCAGCAGCTTCTCCTCATGGGTGAGGCTGGGGAACCCGTATGGCCAAGCCATTGTTGCGGGTGGATTTGCCTGGAAGAACCGGGGCCTCTGGTGCGTTTTCCGGGTGAAATGGAAATGGATGAATATCTTGTTAATCGCCTCCAATTAATGCAGGCATATTGCGTCGAGGAGGTTGCTGCTTCGCACGCAACCACGGGGTGGCTTAGGCGAGGCGTGAGGTGTGAGGCGTGAGGCGTGAGGCGTGAGCCTTGGTAAGCGGCATTCCACGTGGCGCTTATTGGACGCCGTTGATTGCCAAGCGAGCCAGTGCCCGATGGGCGACTTGCATGATGTGCAGAGGAACTGAATCACAAGAGCTCCCCATAAGGATCAAGCCTGCGCGTAGTATTTGCTTTTTTCGTGTGTTGTAGCGATGCAAACAACGGGAGTCCTCGTGGCGGCGATGGAGGGCGTGAGCCTCTCTGGGCTTGGGCCGTTGGAAACTGGAGAGGCCCTTCATAGCTTCGTGAGGGGTACATGAACTCCGTAGAGCGCCGCTTCATCCTCCCATCTCAGCTATGCCACTCGCTCACATCGTGATGGCTGTCGGCCGGGGATTGCTCGGGCATCGGAATTCATCCACGGCCGTAATCATGATGTATATGCCGAATTTGATGATTTTCATCTTGTCATAGATTCTCCGAGACTCGGAGCACAGCTTACTTGGCAGTGTTTGGAGGCTTGTGGAAATATGCAAGGACGCAGGCCGTCTTGCTCGCCGAGTTGCGCGTGAAACCGTTAACTCCAAAGGGGGAGAGGTCAAGCATTTGCGCATGCGCACGCATAGAGTTAAGCTCAGAGGCCGCTCAGCGGTGCGCCGAGAGCCTGGGTTGAGTACGAAACCGGAAAAGCTCTCGAAAGCTTTCTGAGCTTCACAGCTGGGAACCATAACTGCCGGGCCCGAGCTAGCTCCGGTGCATGTCGAGTCCAGATGTCGGTTCTCGTTGTTGTTCCGGGTGGTCGGGGTTCCAGGCACATTCTTCGGAGGTAACAAGACAGCGCCAGCATGTTTCGAATCATGCTCGAGACAAGTATAGCTTCAAGCTAAGCGACAGATGTGAGTGTGAGAACATAGCATAATCATCATAGACAACACGCCTCAGGTCTTCCATATATCAGACCTCGAGAAAGGATGCCCAACTTCTTGTCCTGGATTCAAAGAGACGAATGCATCTTCGTGTGCAGTGTCACCGAGCAGCAGGACCCCTCCTTGGTTGCACCTGCCAAATAGACCCCGCAATCATCCACCGCCCCCGATCTCGCCCCGCCAATTTTTTCATGCAATTGGCTTGGATCGCACCATTTTCTACTTTTACCCTTCCCAAGCCACCTGTCGGAAGTTTTTTTTCCCTCGTCTTGTCTTCCACATCTCTCTCTCCAGAAGACTCTTAATCCTCTGGTCCATCCCACATCTTGTCCCATCCTCAGCTCTCTCTCCATTGATACCTGTCCTTCCACCTCACATTCACAATGTCTTCCGACTACGCCCTGTCTGCGTCTCACAAGGAGGTTTGTTCTGCCCCACCATGGACAAGCACGATGGAATGACTCAATTGAGGAGGTTGTTGAGCTGACAATGCCCTCTGTCTAGATGCTCGAGAAGCCTCTTCTCGAGACTGACCCCGAGGTCGCCACCATCATGGTACGTTTTACAGGTCTTTCATGGGCTTTCGCGAGCCTCGTCTGTGCCGATTTCGCAGTCATACTGATGATACCCCGCTACAGAAGGATGAGATCCAGCGGCAGCGAGAGTCGATTGTTCTCATTGCCTCGGAGAACATCACCTCTCGCGCCGTTTTCGATGCCCTCGGCTCCCCCATGTCCAACAAGTACTCCGAGGGTTACCCCGGCGCTCGCTACTATGGCGGCAACCAGCACATTGACCGCATTGAGTTGCTCTGCCAGAAACGAGCTCTCGAGGCCTTCCACCTCGACCCTGAGAGGTGGGGTGTCAACGTCCAGTGCTTGTCTGGCAGCCCTGCCAACTTGCAGGTGTACCAGGCTATCATGCCTCCTCACGGTCGTCTCATGGGTCTCGACCTTCCTCACGGTGGCCATCTTTCTCACGGTTACCAAACTCCTCAGCGCAAGTAAGCTTGTCCTCCTGTTCACCGCTGTGGTTTTCATTATGGGAAACTCCGTGTTCTAACTTGCTTGTTTTCCCCGCCAGGATCTCGGCTGTCTCCACCTACTTCGAGACTATGCCTTACCGAGTTGACCTCGAGACTGGCATCATCGACTACGACATGCTCGCCAAGAACGCTATTCTCTACCGCCCCAAGATCCTCGTCGCCGGTACCTCTGCTTACTGCCGCTTGATTGACTATAAGCGCATGCGCGAGATTGCCGACTCCGTTGGCGCTTACCTTGTTGTCGACATGGCTCACATCTCTGGACTTATCGCTGCCGAAGTCATCCCTACGCCTTTCCAGTACGCTGATGTCGTTACTACCACCACCCACAAGTCTCTCCGTGGCCCTCGCGGCGCAATGATCTTCTTCCGCAAGGGTGTCCGCTCTGTCGATGCCAAAACTGGCAAGGAGACCCTCTATGACCTTGAGGGCCCCATCAACTTCTCCGTCTTCCCCGGCCATCAGGGTGGACCTCATAATCACACCATCACCGCCTTGGCCGTTGCTCTCAAGCAGGCTCAGACCCCCGAGTTCAAGGCCTATCAGGAGAAGGTCGTATCCAACGCCAAGACTCTGGAAAACACATTCAAGTCTCTTGGCCACAAGCTGGTTGCTGATGGCACTGATAGCCACATGGTTCTCCTTGACCTCCGTCAGTTCAGCCTGGACGGTGCCCGTGTCGAGGCTGTTCTTGAGCAGATCAACATTGCCTGCAACAAGAACGCCATTCCTGGAGACAAGAGCGCTCTCACCCCATGCGGCATCCGCATTGGTACCCCTGCCATGAGCAGCCGTGGTTTCGGCGAGAAGGACTTTGAGCGTGTCGCCAAATACATCGATGAGAGCATCAAGATTTGCAAGGAGGTTCAGGCTGCTCTTCCCAAGGAAGCCAACAAGCTCAAGGACTTCAAGGCCAAGGTTGCCAGCGGCGAGATTCCTCGCATCAACGAGCTCCGCAAGGAAATCGCTGCTTGGACCAGTGCTTTCCCCCTCCCCGTTGAGGGCTGGCGCCTGGACGCTGGCATCTAGATGCCATAACTCCCTGATGGGCATGGAAAAGAAGGAACAGGATTATGACAGCATGAAATCAGGGGTGGAGTACAGCTCTACATGCTGAGGAATTTAACATGGGATGCTGCCAAAAAGGCGAATGTTCAACAACTTGCATTTAACGGGCTGGCGTACTTGATATCTATTTTTTATTACGCATCGACCAAATTTTTGTTGTCGTGTCGGGTTTTATGTGGGATGAATGCTTCGGGAAGGCTGGGAGTTGTCGGAGACAACTAGAATCAACTTGCAAAACTGAAGTGACTGTCTGTTAATAAACAGTTAGGCAGAGGCGCTCAACGCTCCAAAATATCACAATTATCTGTCCTGAATGCATTGGCCTGCGAAATCTTCCGTTTAAACATTATTATTATTTTAACCTATGCCGATATTCACACCAGCACTGCATCAGGTAAGGCCTCATTATGCAAACAGGGTGTGCCAGGTCGTACTTAACCTAGACAACCGTGTCATATTAAAGGAAACACGGCATAACAACGTATTATAATATTACATATTACAATACGTGAGAAGCTTTGCAAAATTATAATTGATAGCTGCGGTAGACCGCGGCATAGCTACGCGTCAGTAAATGCTATCGCGAGATAGCCTTAGCCACTACATGGAAGTAAACTGTATATTAGAGATGAAATTTACACACGAGTGCCTTACTTTAAGGACTTCAAAAGCCGCACATAACACATATTAATAAGTCCTGAGCTCATGACACATTGTTCTCTTCCGGAGCCAGTTTGTCCGCCCTTCATACAAGCATTCACAACAGCACCGCGGCAAAGTTTACGACCGACAGCAAGTGTTTGCGAGATCCTTTTCACTCCCATCGCCCATGTCAACACCCGGTCAATGGCTCGAGCAGACAAGTATCAGGCAGAGCGCCTCTCCTTCTGTACGCCACGCAGAACGGAAGCTATGGGCTGCAAAACGGCGAAACCATCGATGATGATATAAAAATGTATATAGGATATTTCGAAATACACTAGTAGCACAAAAGATACCCCTTGAAGCCTGTCCCCCAAATACGAGCGCGTTTTCCTTTCCCAACAATTCATTAGGCTTGCCTTTGCGTTTCCATGCGCTGGCCGGCAAAAAGACAAAAGAAAACCAAAACACAAAAATCATAGTTGTCCAGCCGGTTTATCGTTAAACTGAAGGATATTCAAACGGGCGACGACGCAGTCGCTATGGTCTTCCCAAACGAAACAGAGACTCCGCACGCAATATCTCTTTATATATATACATTTTAGGAGGGGGTAGTCTATACCCAAAAAAAAAAAAAAAAATGAAGATGGAATTAAAAAAAAATTGTGTTGCCATGCTGACGGATTTACGGAGCGATACTGTCTGGGCTCATCATAGCAATGTTCTCATCCTTTTCGGTCTGGCTTGTGCCCGCTTGGCTTTGCATGCTGTCAGTTCTTTCCATGCTCGCGGTGAGGGCGAGAAGAGCTGGGTTGGGAGGCGGAACAGGAGTGATGGTGATTGACTTCTTCTTGGCTGGTGTTGTGTTGGTTGACCCTGTTCCAGCGTTGGCTCCTTTCTCGGGTGATGCATTTGCCTTGGCTTCAGCTGCGGCGGCGGCGAGCTCCATTTTCTTCTTCTTCTTTGCCAACGCCAGCTGTTCTCGTGGTGGGCGTTTCTGGGCGGATATAATTTTGCCGCTTGCCCCCAGGCGTGGACGAGGCTTGCGCTGCTTGACGGGCAAGTCTTCGTCCTCAACCAGAGGTTGGTCACCATTAGCGTGCAATTTGGCGAGGAAGAAGTTTTTAACCAGGCCAATTTCTTCCTGTATGCCCTCGTTTGAGACGGGCTCAGACGGCGGTAAAGCCTCAAACATATCTGCGGATGTTGCGCCAGCCGTCTGCGTCTGCATCTGGTATTGGTTACGAACTCTGCTATGAAGAAGGTGGAATGGAACGGAGAAGGAGTCGAGCCCCATTTCCTTGTCCAGGCCAAGAGCCTTGAAGCCAAAGAAGTCTTCGCCAAGATCGTCAGCGAAGTCACCACTCATAAACTGGTCACTGCCATCCTTGAAGGCTCCGACGCCGTCAACTCCGGCATCCGCGGAAAGGGCCGGCCGCAATAGATCAGTGAGATGCAGCTTCATCCGCTCATGGAGAATTCCGAGTCGAGAACTTAACCGGTCAACTTCATCCTTTGCATAGGATTCGAGTGATGCAACATCGTGGCCACTTTCTTCGAGGGTATGGAGAACAACTTCTTCAGGAGTGAATCGGGACTTGGTTTGCGGTCCTTCAGGAGTTTGCACTGACGTCTTTTCAGCCTCGCGGTAAATATTAAAAGTCCTGACCAACTTCTGGAAATAATCGGCAGCAATTCCGGTCAAGGTATCAATAGCGGACGGCTGCAACTCCTCGAAACCGGTATGATAGAGAATTTTCGCGACAGAGCGCTTGAGAGCATCCTGACAAGTTTCCGAAGCCATCACAGGTCCATCATCCGAGATGAAATGGGGCTCAATATCTTGTTCGAGGAAAGTCTCAATATTCGATTTGGGGAACTGGTTGGTGTACACCTGTGATTGGACCTGCATTTGCTTGATAACTGAGATTTTGGTCGCCAGCTTTCTGGTTTCTTGAATCTGACGGATATTGTCATCCATTTTTTTTGTCAGTCGGCTTTTCGGTGCAATAAAAGAGCCAGGGGGCACGAGTCTGAGGAATGCCTCGTGCTGGTTAATCACTTGTCCTTCTCCGTCCTCAACCCACTGCAGATTAGGCTTGATATCAGGGATACTGGTCAGCGGGTTGTAGTAGTCGGGCATAACCTGTTCAGTCTCTTCGTCAATGCCCTCAGCAAGAGTTTCCGGTTGCTTGCTTGGGGCCAGATCCTTTCCCGTTCCTGCGGCACTGGCCAGGTGTGGGTGTGCAGCAATTCCCATAGTTTCAGCTTCCCTTTGATGCTTCAAAAACCAGCGCATGCCAGCTCGATTTCTCAGAAGTGCTGGGGCATCCGTATTCAAACTGTTCCCTTTGAACAGGAAGTGGCGCTCTTTGACAGTTAGAGCTCGATCCTTTTTGGTTGTCTGCTTCCAAATCTTGTACTCTTCGTCCTCGTATGCCTGTTCAGTAGCTTCACCAAACGCTGCCATGGTGCTAAGACTTGGTCCGTCGATATCCATGGCATCGGCGTTGCTCGCAATGCCAGAGTGTCCATTCAACGCGCCAGACGGGGTTATAGAGCCAGCTATCGGCGGAGTCGAGAACCCATTGCTGCCATCAACTTCAGATCCCTCCCTGCCAGCTTTTCCGAGAAGTCCATTGAGTTGTAGGACCGGTTTTTGATCCACCACGGGTGTGTCCTCTTTCTGGTCAGTCGGGGCGGTGCGCGACTTGGCACCTTTTGTTGTAGCCTTTCGACCACGAGACGACATTATCGGCTCGTCGTCAGAGTCGTCGCCACCGTCATCGTCGCCGCCATTCTGCTTTCGTCTCTCTTCTGCCTCCACTTCAGCCCGAGAACGAACGACGAGATCTGGGATCAGCGGGATCAGCTTCTCAGCTTCTTTTCTCATTCCATTCGCCATTCTGCGGATTTGACTATTCATGTCTTGGTTGTATTTTAAACAGTTATCCCATATTAGGTCAAGATCCGCAACGAAATCCGTCTTTGATTTGTACGTCAGGGATTTGAGTTTCTTCGTCATTGAGCCGAGATCCATTGGGTTCTTGATTACTGGAGTGACAGATCATAGTTAGTGGCAATTCCAGAGCTAACCATAACACCAGCTGGTGGTGAAAATAAACTCACAACTATAATAATCAGGTGCATCTTTCTTGCTAACTCGCGTTAAGAATGGGTGAGAATATTCCGTATGCGCCTTCAGCTCCGTCAAAACCTTTTCAAAAGCTTCATATAACTCTTCTTGGTTGACATTTTCCTCGCTCGCCCATTTGCTTCGGTTTTTGCGAACCTCGTTCATGAGGAGTCTCAGTTCTGCATCTGAGGCTCTTACTTGGTCACGCTTCATATCAATTCTGGCGATGAGATGTTTAAGGGTCAGGCTCGAGGCACCTAGATTCGCACTACTCAGCGAGCCTTGGTTGCTTGCTTGGGCACCGCCGGCCCCATTTGCCTGATTGCTGTCCATCTCGGCTTGAAGCTGCTTTTCTGAATCTTCCAGCCGTTTTTGTTCAAGCATCGCTGTTCGATCATTCTCCAGGGTGTAGAATATAGTGTGGAAGCTACGCCTGGCAGCTTCCTCGGTGGCCAACCTGGCCTCTTCCAAATTTTTGATGGCATTATCGTCGCTTTCCCCGGCTTTGCTTCTACTCTGAGAATCTTCTTGGCTCGATTTTAGCTTTTCTCCCAGTCTCCCTGGCGAGTTGAGGGAATGAACTGGAGAGCTGCCAGACTTGGACGGGGACAGCAGGGAGTTGGCGGCTATAGAGGCGGCGGAACCTTGCGCTTTCAGTGCAGGCGCAGGCGCGGTGGCTACTTCGTCTTCGTCTTCGTCATCGTCGTCATAGTCATCTTCATCAATGGTACGTTTGGCCTTTTTGTAGGGTGGTTCCTTGATGGGTTCGTGATCGGTGGTGGGGGGGAGCGTCACGGTAGGGGTCGGGGCACGACGCTTCAGACCCGCAATCGCGTCGAGATTGTAAGAACCATCCTCAGAAAACAACAAGGCGATCTTGTCCTCAGTCTTGCGATACAAGTCTGCAAAAAGAGCGCGCCGGGATTCTTCTTCGACATCGCCGGGTGCCTCAGGCACCAACTCTACTGTATTATCGACGGGGGTCTGAGTACGCGCCGTTCCATCATCGAGATGATTCAAAGACCTGCTGCCGTTTGCATGGTGCAAAACTGGAGGCGGCCATGCTGGCTGGCCGTTGGAAATGGACATGCTGGGCCCGTGGCGATGAAAGCGACAAGTGGGCGCGGTGTCGCCATGCGCGGTGAGATGCGCTCGCGTAGGGCCGAACCGGAAGGGATTGGAGCAGTTACAGCGGTATGGGTCGAAAGAGCGGCATTGGTATAGATGGAGGACGCAGATTCGCGACAATCGAGATAACGGCGGTGGTGTTTTGATGGATCGCAACGAGTGCGATTTGTCTGCGGATCAAGAGGTGAGGTTGAGGATTCGGGGAGAGCGTAGTACCGCACCCTTTCCCGAAGCGGGACTTTCTCCCAGGCTCACTACTAGGTACCTCACCACCTCGCTGGAGTCGCTACCAAGCGGGCGCTTGAGCACTCGGCGGCCACGAGTTACGAACTAAAGTTTACTTAGTAGGTACTTAGTAGGTACCATAGGTCGCCTTGGCCGCGCCGCGGGTACAAAGGGCCGTCCCGTTGGCAGCAGCAGCATTGTTGAATGCGAGGCATGCAAAAGAATTCGAAGACGGTGAATCGAAGCTACAGAACGCAACAAAGGGCCAAATTTTCACGGTTTCTACGATGCTGGTGCGCCTGTCGGCAGCCTGCGCGTGTTGGACAAGGACGTCCGGTGGAGGTACTTGAGACCTTGGCCCCCCGCGGACCGTGTTCCCCCATAAAACCGACGGCACCAGCGCCGGCGGACCGTAGCAGCAACACCAAGTGCGCCTGCGTGAGTTGGATCAAGGCGCTTATCACGTGATTCCGGCTGCGGTTGTCATCGCCGTCGGGTCAAGCACCGAAGCCTCTCTGATGGTGTAGAGATGAGCTGCCATGAGAGCGCTCTGGGCTTTGCATCCCTAACTACAATCAAATGAATTGTCGATCCGAGCCTGCACCACACCGCCCTCACCATAGCAAAGATGGGTGGCTCACTTGGCGGCACCTGGCTTCTTCAGTTCTCACAAAGGGAGTAAACACAGAGCAGAGCCGTTGTACTTAGGCAAGCAGATACATGCATGTGCACCAGACGTAAATGAAATATGTAAGGGTGTACGGAGTACAAAGTAGCCCTCTGCGTGTGTGCGCACAATGAAGTCATGGGCTGCGCAATCAACCAGTCGACTGTCCAAAATCAGGCACGACACTGCTGCCAGTACCTGCCCAGCCCACTGGAATGCGCTGAAGCTGAATGGCCGCATCCGCACTCAAGATATCCGGTCTGGTCTGGTCAGCTTTCCCTGTCCTACTCCAATCGTCCTACACCCAACAACCATCTGGCTAGGCTTCGACATTACCAGCCTCCATTTAGAATTTGCAATCTTCACTGTGCCTGTGGGCTTCGTTTTTCCTTGAACGGGAGCTGTCATTGAAAAGAATTACGTCCTCGACAAGCATCCCCAGTACATGTACCTTGCGCAAGCTGGCCTTGTTACCATCAACATCGGTTCGCCGACCGTCCACGTCAGACCACCGCCAGACGGCTTGATCGCGAAGCCTTATACAATATTTGCTGCGACCGCTTGCGCTGCGCTCGAGTCAGCTTCATTTTGACTTATCTGGCGCCATGCGGATACGTCTGCCTTTTGCAGGTAGCATCACCCAGGCTTCGCTCATCGGGAGGACCAGCAAGGACAAGCTAATTGACTCGTGTGCTTCGTTCTAGGTGTCTTCCTGTTTTTGTTATTGGTAGCAGGATACGCCGGCCTCAGCAAGCTCCAGCTCGGGCAGTATGTCAACGACAAAGTATTACACGCCGGGACCTTCTTCTTGCTTACAGTTGTATTCTACTGGATTGTCGACACCAATCGCCGCCGAACCCTAAACATGACGCTGGTTGTTTGCACACTATGCCTCGGCGTGGGATCCGAGTTTCTGCAGAGCTTCCTTCCCAACGATCGCGACTTTGACCTCTTCGACATCGTGGCGAATATTGTCGGCAGCTTGGTTGGTTTAGGTCTGTGCTCGTGGTACCACAAGCGCATGCTGGAGCGTAAGAGGCAGCGAAAATCGTACAATCCCGTTCCAGGAGAGGATGGCGAAGACGTCGAACTGGGCCAAGGCCAGGAGAGTGGCATTGTCGATGCCGGCCCATCCAGGGTACGGACATTGGAGGAAGAGGTGGATAATTGGGATGAAAATGCCCCGGATGACTGGGATGAGGACGATGTGCCGGAGACGTCAGCTCCGCCTCCTGTCAGGAGTCAAGAACCCGACACCGTTGACATTGGCGATGCAAAGAAGCGGACAGACTGATTCCTCGTGTCTCGGCGATAGATAAATGAGGGTCTGGTATATGGTATGGATATGGATAAGGAGGTACTATTGGGAGCTTGGCGTCAAATGCATTGATAAAATTTCAGTCAGCGAGTTATGATAATATGCGTAAGAAACTAATACGGCATGGTATACCCTTTTTTGCAGTCTTTGATGGTTCCCGGTTGCAATTCTTATATGTGTGCCAGCCCCTTCCTGTCACACATCTTCCACGTGAGTTCATTTATTGATTCATCTCCACGGATATTCACTAATAGCAGACAGTATAAAGCCTTCAACCTGCCCACCCAATTCGGTATTAAGCTACTTGGGCCATGGCTTGAGCCGCCAAGATGATTCATTTGAGAGAAACACCGTGGTAACCGTAGCATCATTCACACCGCCAAGCGACGTAACTGCCACTCCGTGGCCCAAAGCTGCTAGGGCTATGATAATTGCAGATGTTATCAGCTGTGCAACGATTAAAGCCATAGCAAGCCAATAGATGCCATGGTCGTTGAATTTCTCCCAGTCCTTGTCATCTATTATCTTCTCTCTGAACTCACGAGTATCTCTTGCGAACTGTTTGGCATTTTCGCTCGCGATGATATCGGTCGTTGCCTGGCACAATGACAGCAACAGGAACAACAGAAGTCATAGGACAGGTGTGCTGGTCAGCGCGGAATATGACACATCCAGCGCACACGGCTAGCCTCCATATCTACATCATTGATTACTGTTGTTACGGGTGGCTCCCGCCGGTCGGTGTTGGCTGTGCCTTTTCTCCCTTGGCCAATCTATCAGCTTCTTATTTAGCTCTTTCTACCAGCCTCCTCCTCGGCTTTCTTATCAGCGACGTCTTTGGCTTTCTTGCCTTCTCATTTGTCCTCCCCTATGCCTTTGCTCGCCTGCTGCTGAGGGGCCGTTCCTGTATGTCTGGGACTGACGGGGGAGTGCTTTTCAGTATTCTCCATTTCAATGCTTTTGGAATCGGATGCAAGTCCTGACGCTCCAGACCGTGATTAGGGGGCTGGCCCTTGATAAATGTCGCCGCTGCCATCTGTAGCTGCTGGTGACATCTTGTAATGGAATGGAAATCCAGCAACTCTTACTCAGAGGTGCTGCGAGACAGGTATATCCAAGGCTTTTGTGTTTGTTCAAAGGCATTAATATATAAGTCTTACATAGATGCTGTTGCACGATAGCTTTACTTGGGTAGGTATACAAGGAACTTCAAAGCTAACCAGTGACACTTTACAGCTGCTACGCCTCTCTGTTCTTCGCCGCGCACTGCGTGTGGGTGTACTCCAAAGCCGGACGCCTGTATTATCTCGGGATTATTCGATTGTGCCGTTTGCGGTCGATGGAGCCTCAAGGCTGACGCCACGTATCACCTTGGAACGACCTTTCCAGTGCCTCTTTTGGTGCGTCATCACTGTCTTTGAATGCCAGTCATGCACAGCGTTGGTACATGTTTAAACTGTACCTAATAGCTGTCATTTGTGCGGTAACTTGAAAGTAGGCTAATAAGAAAACGGTTAGGGGCCATTATACATGAGTACCTAGGTATTTGAGCAAGTTGAATTTACTCGCTGCTACAAGAAACTCCCATGTTAGATAGATGGTCATGTTGGCGTCCCCCAATCCTGCTCCAAGAGCGACAAAATGGTCCACCATCGGTGAGGATACCCCACCTCGACCTGCTCACCTCGGTGAGCAGCCCACTGGCCAAAGCCGTCTGTCGCAAGTGGGCAGCTTCAAAGCTCCAAATCTTACTTTGCACTGACTGGAGACCGGCCAACAAAGATGGCAACCGCAGGCAGGGCGCCGGCGTCAATGTATGTTCCCAGATCGTCTTGACGAGCTAATGACTCCGTCGTATATGCTGACACATCCTCATTCAAGCGGCAACGATGGGACTGCCACCAACCCGCGCGGTATTCCCTACGCCCCTTTCGTGGACAGGGTCGAGGACTATGTCGCTACCCGGGAGGAAGTCGAGCCAACATTACGGAGCTTCCAGGAGATGATTTCGTGAGTCAACTCATTGTTTCGAAGAAAGACGTTGCCTAGGTTTTCAAGATTGCAACCAGATCAAGTTGGAAGGCGGCTATCACTAACATCAATACACTGCAGGAAGTATCAGTTCATGGAAATGAATCTCCAGCGCCGAATGGCAGGTCTGAAAGACAAGATACCCGAGATCCAAAAAACATTAGATACAGTCAGGTTCTTGAAGCTCCGCAAAGTAAGGAATTGAACCTTGCAAGTCATTGTCCGCTTCTGACGTGGAGGCGATGCAGGACGAAACCGAACCCATAGAAACGACATTCGAACTCAACGAAACATTATATTCAAGAGCGAATATCCCTGCAACTAGCGAGGTCTATATTTGGCTTGGGGTGCGCATAATATACGACCCCAGTAATTCCAATCAGTGCTGACTGTTGCTTCAGGCCAATGTGATGCTTTCATACACTACAGATGAAGCCGAGACTCTGTTGAGCTCAAAATTAGCCACTGCAAACACAAGTTTGTCACACTGCGAGGAGGATTTGGATTTCTTACGCGAGCAGATCACCGTGAGTATTATGACTGATCCCCGATCTACTAGCACACTTTGAACTAACTCACCATCTAGACCATGGAAGTTGCGACAGCGAGAGTTTATAATTGGGAAGTGGTACAAAAGCGTAAAGACAAGTCAGGGGAAGAGGTTACCAAAGGTCAGTCCGGTGAGAAGACAGGCCCTTCTAAGAGCTAGGGTTAGTCAGGATTCGTTATCAAACTTGGTCAGCACTGCCCCGAAAGAAAGACACCTGATGATTTCAACTTTCATATTGTCTATAATAGGGTGGAAATAAAAGCACCGTGAAATTTAGAATATTCGCCGTATGCGCTGAGATGCAATCACGATGCCAAAAGAAGGGCTATCGGGTCCAGGGTAAGTGTGGGGACTCGACTTTTTGCATGTGTGCCAATTCGTGCACAGGGCGCGAACCATCTTTTTCCGCTTCCAACCCATCTTTACACGGCGCATCTCCAGTGACTTCACGACCAATGCTGATGCAACTTGTGAAATTATGAGGAGGCATGCTGAGAAATGCCTCGAGAGAGCTTGGCCGACGGCGGCGCATGCCGCTCCGAGTGCTCCAACAAGCTGTTGTATGACCCAATTCGACCATCTTTGCTCGTGATCTAGAAAGCTAATCAAGTTTGTGTATTCAGTTATCCAGTCGCTCGATATTCCAAGATCTCCACCCAAATGGTGCCGGAGCAGCTGTAGCAGATAACACAGTATCTACGAGTCTGACGGGCACCGGCCCAAAGGTTGGGGCGCAAAGGGCATTTGCAAAGCAAAACAACCTGCGACATGCGACATCCGACGGGCCAAGACGCCGCACTCGACCTGACGGCACGAGGTCCCATGGTCCATCAATTGTGCGAAACTCTACGAGACAGTTACTGGAACACATGCCATCTAGCCAGCTACTGGAGAAAGTCCTTGGAAGAAACCCATACGCAGACTCCTGGAGGAAAAGAATCGCCAGGTTTCGAACGATAAGACTGCCTATTCTCCTCCTGCAAGAAATTCTGCGACAGGAAGAGCTCCAGTCGGCCGGCGGGAGCGGATTGTTGGAGCTTCTTCCGACGCTACAAGAGAACAAAGCCATACTAAAACACCCGTCTCTTGCAGGCCATACCCAAAAGGCTATCGGGCGATATGTGTATATTTTACGAGGGCAAGACGATGAGGAAAGGTGCAAAAGATATCTGGAGGACCCTACGTCAATCCCGCTGTTCATATTCCACTTCCTGCTCCGCCAGTCTTCCAGTATTGGAGATCCAGTCACGTTGCAGAGAATGATTGAGTCCTCACACGCCTATTACAACAGCCGAAGAACGGATAACACCATATCGGAGGGCAACCGTCAAAGTAGTAGAGACGGGTCAGAAAGGATGCTGGATATTGACCGAGCAAACTTCAACTTAATTATGCGACTACTAGTCCACCACTGCCGCCGGCTAGAGCCCAGATTTGTGGTGAAGCTGGCTGATTCGGCTGCACAATATATTCAGAACATGCCGATTTCTGCTCAAGGCGAAAGGAAAGTATTTACAACACAATGTGATATTTTCAATGGATGCTTGCAAATATTACGACCTCTGCCACATGTCCACGTTGCCCAAAGATCCACACCCAACGCTTATTTCTGGGAGGCGCAGAGAATTCTCTTGTCGATGTCGGCAGGCTTGTCAAAACCATTGCTTGTGGATAGAGGTGGATTCCGGGCGATTCGAGAAGTGTTATCAGGCCAGGCCAAGAGTCATGCAGAAGTATACAGCGCAGCCAGACACGCATCCAGCTGGCCTCCCTATTTGCAGCCAGGCCACGGAATGGATGAACGTACCGATCCAGAAGACAACTGGAGCCGCGCTGTAAGTGCAGGCATGCTCATGCAAGAGGCTGGATTTGCTAAAGACGAAGTCGACGATGCGGTGGACATATTGCAGGGCATGACACAAGATGGAACGCCAACCATTCAACAGAGAGCAATGATTTCGAAACGCCGAAGAATTGGAGTGTGGGAGGCATCTATCCGCGCCACGCGGAATGCACAAGAAGCTTGGGATCGGTTCCGCAACCCACCAAAAGAAGGAATGAAGCCAGGTCTGCATCAGTATTCGGCCATGTTTGAGAAGCTAGTGCTGCGAGAAGTTGAGCCAGACGGCAGCATATCGCCCGGTGACAAAGCCTTGAACTTTCCTACCCAACATGAGGCTAATCTGGCCGAGTTTGAAAGAGCACGCTTGCGGCCTCCGAGTATATCTGAGCTCTACCAACATATGAGACTCAATGGAGTTGAGCCTGATGGCTCCTGTCTTTGTATTCTTGTCGCCAATGCTGCTTCTTTGGAGATAGCTCATCAGTATTTACGTGACAGCCCCGAGAAGAGTCGAATCATTCGAAATCTTATTGCCGAGGAGCCCGATGCCGGGCTTCTGAGGCTAGTTGGGATGGGGTTATTCGCAGCGTATCTCCAAGTATGCCTGCGAGTGGAAGGGCGACGCGCAGGCAATCAACTTCAACGTGTTATACGCCTCGCAGAATCAAGGTTGAGCCATGAACAGTCTCGATGGGCTCCCTTCATATGGGGCACTATTTTAAAGGAATTATCGCGACACCACCATGCTCTGAGGATCTCGCTGCATCAACAACTTGATTTGATGTTGAGAGTGATGGATGCAATCGAGAAGGTGGACGGAGTCCAGTTGTCAACATTTACCCAGTTCCACAAAGGTGTTCGAAAGGCCGTGCGACAACAGCTGAATAGTGTATTCACAAAGGATGCTGAGAAAGAAGCACTTGCAAAGAGCCCACTGACGCAAGCGCTTTTCTACCAGATGTGCATGGCAAGTGTGGATAATGCGCACCCTCGTCGGAGTCTACTGCATCAGGGACTAGGACAGGAAGATTCTTTCCCGATGGCGGGGGCCGAAGTGCTACTCCTGAAAGAAGCCAAGGCGCGAATAAAGTACATGTTCTGGACGCTCGAGCAGAGGGAGCGCCACGCCCAAGCATATCTTGATGGGTACCAGATAGCACCGCTAGAAGCCATGAATTCTCGCAGGGATGCGGCCCGAAGTGATCATGCTCACGACTACATGCTGACGCTGGGATATCTGGGGGAGTTTGAAGAAATGGGGCGGCTGCTGGAGTGGCTGATACAACAATGGGGCCAATTCAACGTGGCATCGGCCGTGAATGAGATGGAGGAGGCTCCGCCACAGGCAGACTTTTTCGAGACGCTGTGCGTTTTTCGATTGGTGGCAGAGCCGATGCTGGGAAACGGCAGGGTGTCAACGCTCCTACAAACGCTGGCGGATTCCGGGTTGAACTGGACCTGGCCAGACGACGAGGCTGTGAAGACATACGCCGAAGTACACCATGATGAATCCATCAGCACCTTGAGACGGGTAATAGAATTGGCTCGGGATGGGAACAAAGAGTCTCGGCAAACGAGGAACTAGAGCTACGGGCCGGATAGGAAGAGAGGATGATGGTGATGAGAAGAGGACCATGGCATGGTGGTATGCCGGCAGTCGACAAGGACGGGTTGGGCAACCGTGAATACGAGGCGGCTGCTGTGCGCATGTGTAAGATTAAGATGAAAGGAATCATGCTCCGTATATACCCATGCATACACGTAGGCAGTTGAAGCAGCAGGTGCGCCATGTGCGGTGCTTCAGCCCCCAGTTGTGCTTCCCTTAACTAACACTGGCGCTTGCATCGATTGTTGGGGCTGCTGTGAAAATTGCTGGCAGGGATTCATGCGCGGCAACCAATGAGAAGCGGCGTGGGCCTGAAATGTTGACCATCTAGGAAAGTTGGCGGCAAAAACGAGACGGCGCGATGTAAAGATGGAGCAACAACGGAATTAAAACAAAGGCAAGGAAAAAAGAGAAGGAAGAAAGAAAGAAGACCCGACCCCAGCCTGTGCCAGTGGCAGCTACAGGAAGCCCTTGATATTGAGTCGACAGAATCAAAGCATCTTTCGTGGACCAGACATGACGGTTTGAAGTGCAAATGGTGATTGATGTACAAGGTCTGTCTGCCACTTGCCTCTGGTGCAGGCGGGCCTCATAGGCGACAGCACCGCCGCAAGCGCCGCAGACCCAGCCCCCAGGCTGCACCAGGTCAGGCTCCCGAGGTCCTGGTGATTGGCCGTCGACGTCTCATTTCCAACTTTAGAAACATTCCGAGCACAGCCGCTGCCTTTCTGCCCGCATGGTTCGCCATGGCCCCGTCGTTCCAACGTCCCATCGTCCCATCAATCCGAAACTGCACTGCAGATACTAGCAGTGTGGTTCCCCAAGCCGGCACGACCACGGGAGCCGCGCGCATGTGCATCGTGTGCGTTGCTGAGTCTTTCGGTCAAGTACATCTACACGACGCAGGGATGCCCTCCCCTCCCGGCTCGCCCTTTGCCGTCCTCGCACAAAAGCATTGGCCATGATGTGCCCAAACATCTTCAATCTCGATTGTGAAGCTGCCATGCTCCCCGGGGTGTCAGGTAGCGGCCCGCAGGTCGCTCTCATTTCACTTGCTTGCTTGGCCCAGCCTTGCCGTCGTAGACACTCTGGCAGAGGGTTGATGGGAAGCCAGGATTCCGCGATGCATGCAGAATACAAAATGGACGCACAGCGTCGATCCCCTTGTTCTTGCATCGTCCTCTCTTTCACGTCTTGTAGCCGTTCTTTGTTGGTTTCGTCTTTGCCAGTGCCTTGGTTGGTGTTCACAGCATCTCTTACGTGGAAGCAGCCGGTTTTCCCTGTTCACTCATTCAACCTGTTTTTTCCCTCTCCTTCTTCTTGCCTTTGAACATTTCGCTCTTAATTTTCCTTGTCTGAAGCCCGCCCTCCTTCTCTGTTCTCAACTAGTACTCGAGGGCCCTGGCCTATTGTCTCGCTCTATACTCTTCAGTGCCTCTTCTTCCATTGTTGCACCAGGGCCTTCAGATTGCCCTCTTCATTGACTTATTCCTTCTTTTTTCCCTTTCTTGTGTACTTGCCCTTGTTCAACTACGTTTTGGAGACACATCGTGTTGTGCTACTTCAATAGTGACTTGGTTTTCGAGATCGAAAAGACAACAAGAGTCAACCAGCAATCGCCCACGGTCGCCATTTATTTCCCTTTGCGTCTATCTTCTCTGGTTGAAACTCAACTCCTCTCTTTCATCTATTTCGATACTAGGTTCTGGCATCTCGCTGATCGCTACTGTTTTGAGAATCCTTCGGACATTTCCATCAAGCCATCTCAACTTCATCTTGATAGAAACGACTTGTCCAACAGAGAGCGAAAGCAACAAGTATGCGCTTCAAAGTGTATGTCGCTGCGGCGACGTACCTACTTTTAGGCTCTCAAACCGCCCAGGCTGGTCCTATTAGACGGGCATATAATGTGTATGTTTGGCGGTTGAGTTGCGTTGGCCGTTGTGTGGTAGAGTTGGGGACTAACCGATGTGTAGAATCCCCCGTGACGAGACAACTACTCCGACAGGCGTGCCTGACTCAAATAGGTATAATGGAAGAAGAAATAGGCGTAGCACGAGATATTGTGTGCCGTGAGACTGACTTTGAGTTGTAGATCGAATCCGCTGACGACGGGCGTGCCCGTGGCATCTACCCCGGGACCAAATTCGGGACCCCCGACTCCGACTCCATCTGCGTCTGCTTCGCCCCCTGATTCTTTGCATCCCGCGACGGAGTCTACGGCCCATCCGGGACAGTCGACGGATACTCCTACTACAGACCCTTTGGGGGCTGTTCCTACAAGTGGCTCTACTACGGCGGTGCTCGGATCGGGACAGACGACACATGCTGCAGGGGAGTCCTCGACTATCGCTGCCACAGGGCCAGCTTCGTCTAGCGGTGATCATTCTATTTCCGAGGCCACGGGTGTAGCAACGGCGACAAGCACGCCTGGTGCAGCACCGACGACTGTGCCCGGCACATCTCCAAGCAGCGTGTTGGGTGTGGGACCGACGAACACAATCGCCTCATCCCCAGCTACTACAGTCGGTACATTTCCAACTGCTTCACTCGGTACGGACCCGACGAACACAATCGCTTCGTCCCCAGCTACTACAGCCAGTACATTTCCGACTGCTGTACTCGGTACGGACCCGACGGCCACGGGTGCGGTTGGTACATCTCCAACTGCTATACTCGGTGTGCAGCCAACGAGTGTACTCGGCCTGGAACCAACGACTACAACGAGCATAGCACCAACGACTACAACTGGTACAGCACAGACAGCTGTTGTCACCACTCCCACAGCAACAGCAACTGCAAGTTCAACAACAGCTGGTGATGTGGCTGCCACTGGACTGCCTACGACAACGGCGCCAGGGTTGCTGGCAACCCCCTCGACTTTGACAACGACTGACGCTGCTAGTCAAACAACAACCACCTCCGGCGGCGTCACAACGCCAACTTCGAACATTATCTTTGAGACAACCTCTCGGGCCACTGCAACCACAGGTACCTCGTCTGTCCCAAGCTCACTCACAACCTCAACTCCCGGGTCCGGCATAGACACAGGCACTGGCACAGGCGGCTCATCCTCTCCCAACTCAGCTCCAACAGACGTCCTTGGCCCTGGCACAGCTACAGCTATCTTTGACCCAACAAGTCAGACATCATCTCAAACAGGGGTTCCAGGCTCTGGCACCACAACTCCCGCGACGGGGACATTGGCCAGCCAGTCGTACTCCATCACAGGACCAACTACCACACCTATCGTGACTACACGTCAATTCCCTCTGAACACGACCGTTGCGTCGCTCGTTACGGGTGGAGGTGATCTAACAACAGCGCTTGGAGCGTCTGCCACCACTTCTGGGGCACAGTTCATCACGAGTCGTCAGAACAACTCAATTCCCACTACACAAAGTGATCCCTTTAACACGGCGACCACCCAGTCGACTACAGATCAATACGGCTCTACAGGAAACACTCTGGGATCATCTGCCACCACCACCTCCGTGAAAGAGTTCATCACGAGCTCTCAGAGCGAGCCAACTACCTCGGCATCATCTACGGACTTCAGTACGTCGTCTGCCCCAAGTAATGGCCAGACAACTCAGAATGTACCTGGTTCGACAACCATAGGAAATTCAGAGCCTACTGCGACAGTTTCAACTCTTACATCTGGTCCTCCGCAAACCAGCAACACAGGTGATGCTTCAAATCCTACGGGGTTGCCAACCGTAACTCTCCCAGGACTCACAACAACATCATCATCCACTGAACAACAGGGATCACAGTCGACAGGCACGGCCACATCGTCGCCCACAACAACAATCACAGTAACCCCCACTGGCCAGCCGGACTCCAAAGTCCCAACTGCATTTTCCAGCTTCCCAACCGCCACCACAACCATTCCCGCATCTGTCTACGCCTCCAACCTCGCGCAGGCCAAAGACCTCAACAGCGTCTTCTCCTCGCTCACACCCCAGTCCTCCTGTTCGGGGTCCCAAACGGCCTGTATATCCGGCCAAGTTGGCTCTTGTAGCAATGGGGCGTTTAATCTCGATGCCTGTTCTCAGGGGCAAAAGTGCTATGCGTTGCCCATGACCAATGTCAGGGGTGCAAAAATAGGCTGTTACGATCCTGCGTATGCCCAGGGGATTCTCGGGCCGGAGCAGAGCACCGGGCCGAGGAGCATGCGTACGACGTTTGTAACCGAGACTAGGAGACCGGTTGTTACACGTACGGAAGTCCGCACCGTTACGAATAAGTCATCTACACCTACGCTTGTTCTGAGCCCCCAACCGGAAGTGGGTGGATCTTCATCAGCCCAGTCTGAGTCCCAGCCAACACCAACGGCGTCGTCTTTGTCGGCGCCGACATTTATATCGACATCAACGTCAACCTTGATAGAATATACCCCTTCTGCCCCATCTGCTTCAACAACTACTCAATCACCACTAGTAGTAACAACAATACCTATCCTCTCCCCTTCAACAACAACTACCACACCACTACCAGAGACAACGACGCCTGTTCTCCCTTCTCCGGAGACAACCACTCCTCTACCAACGCCAACTACCACGCCCAGCCCTTCCCCTCCCACAACCTCGTCCTCCATCCAACCAACCCAAGTGGTCATCACACAAACCTTCAACAAACCCACCAGTCTCCCACCACCAAACTCAACAAAACTGTTCCTCCGCCCCCTCGACGACGGAACAACATCAACAACCGCCAGCGCGCCAGCCGCTGTGACAAGGAATGCTGGAGGCCCCGATGCCGACCCATCGATGACGACTATCGTTAACAACGGTACGCCCACGGTGTCGGTGTTTGTAACCGTAACAGTGACCGACACGCAGAAGGAGACGGTTACAGTGACGGCTCATAATTAAAGGGTGGAAAGGAGCGCGTTTTGCACATCAACCAAATAATCAGGAGCGCATGTATTTTGAACATAGCACACAGTGGGGAAACAGATCGATGCGAAAACGGCTTGTTTATTGTTTATACTGTCTATATGGGTGGTAATACCTTGGCATATGTGATCATTTCGTACTTTACTTGAGATGCATGTAGAAGATTTTGCTTGAAGAATAATTGAGCGTTGGATTTACATAGACTATGCTTAATAGAGTACAATCCGTGAAAGAACAGAATTTTTGTTGTCATTTACCGCCGTTTTGCTGGCCGTCGGCTCTATTTGCAATAACTACCCATGTGTCATGCTGGCACTGCGGCCCGTCTATATTCCCGCATAAAATATACAAACGCGGCTCAAAACCTTTAACATACAAACAGACCAAGGGACGGGGTGAACAAGTAATATAATTGCCAGCCCATCTCTAAATATATTCCAGGGGCAAGGCCCAGATTCGATGCTCCACACAACCAGCCAGGCCCAACACGCGTGGCTTCATCCCGCTGCGTATAAATCCTGTGCAAATACCCCGTGATACCCCGTGACCCAAACGCCTCGAATGCCATGCCTTTTCAAAGTGTACCTCGCTACAGCTGCACCCAAGTCTGTTTCATGTAGAGTCGTCATCGTCACTTACAGGAAAGGAATCTGCCACCTCTAGCCTCTTCGCCGCAGGCTCACTGTTCCCCGTACGGTCAGCGTCGTGCCCGTCCAGCACAGCGCCATACCTGTCCTGCCACAATTTCTTCATCACCTCATACAGGAACCGATATTGTATCTCAGATTGAACCATGCAACGCCGCTGTTGCCTCAGATTATCGACAGTATCATAAATGAGATCAGGCAGGGTCTTGCAGTTTGTCTCAGTCGCCTCGAGCTTGCCTCCGTCTAATTCCCGCATTAGATGCTCCAAGGAAATAAAAGTCCCGGTACGGCCAACGCCAGCGCTACAGTGAATTATGCGGGGATTGGACGGCTCGGTATGATCTCGAGAGATGGTCATCAACTCAAAGAAGCTGTCCATGTCGTCGACTGTAGGGACCCCATAATCTGGCCAACGTGTATATAACAAGTGCCACACGATCCGCGGTTCCGCCTCTCCTTCGACATCAAGTAGTAGTTTTCGCTTCTCGATTGCGCCGTTCGCAAGTTCCTCCAAAGACTCGAATGAAAGCTGCGCTCTCCAGTTGTCATTCCAAATATTGTCCTTGTTCAAGTCCCACGTCGCGTCCTCCTTGCTGTCGGGGAAATATTGGTTGCATTTGATTGCTCCGCCTTCCGTCATGCTTGTGAGCTGGACAATGACGGCGGGGGACGACGTTTGCTCGGCGACCATTCTCCAAACGTAGTTGAATGACGGCAGTGTCGGGCCTTGCATGGCAATATATCGTAACGGCGGTAGAGAGTTGTCACTCAACGGGTTGAGGACTATAGTTGACGCGTTCACATAATCGAATTCCTCTTCGGGAACTTGAAGCTTCACCCTGTTGTGATTCCAAGGCTTAATGTTTATATACCGATCCATGACTCCTCTCTGCAGGCCGTCGGTTTGCTTAAAGGAACTCCATCTAAAGTTGGTAGGAGCATCAGGTCTGGCGCCTTGGGCAAGGCGATTGCGCTCGGCCCACGTGAGCTCTTGGAACTTGGCTTCAATACCTTGAGTGGACGATTAGCAAGCAAGTGAACCAGGACGCCGGACGCCCGGAAAGGAACACAAACCGTGCATAGAAGTGTTTAGGAAGGCCGGCATGATCGGCCGAGGTCGACCATTTACAGACGAGCCCTCGTCCGTGACAGACCGGGGTGCCACGCCATCCTGGCTGAAGACGGCAACGACTGGCGAGCTCGATAGCCGAGCAACTGGAGAGTGTGTTCTCGCGCGCTTAGCATTCACACGCAACTTGAGATTTCGCAAAGGTGACTTCCTCATGGAGGCCTTTTGCGGCGAAGGCTGACTTGTGATTTCGGTGGTAAAGGTGCTTTCGGCGGTGTCGCTGCTCGTGCGATCGACAGACGTTTCGATGGCCGGAGGTTTCGGTTTCCGCCGTAGTCGGGGCAGTTTGTCCATGTTCTGGATTCCGTCAAGATGCTGGTTTGTGGTGGTTTCGAAGGCGGTAATGTATGACTGATTCAGCAACGGCCAGGGGCAGAAATCGTAACAGCGCTCGTAACTATTATGGGCTGGGGATGACGCAGAAGCGGAACACGGGATATGTACAAGGGAAGCAGCTGCCAGTTGTTGCTGAAGATGCCGGCCCAAAAGAAAAGACAGAGGTAGGGGAAGGGCCAAAAAGAAAAGGATAAAAGATCAAGGTCGACAGGTGATGGGACAACCAGGCTGAATTCCCTCTAGCCAGCAGAGAGGACTGGTAGTAGATGCGCAAGGAGATCAAGTCGGTGAAGCTTGGGCCGACTTTCTGGTGAGCCGATCGACAACGGTTCGAGAAATCCGAGGCTGCGCCATCCGTCCATCCGCCTAGGCGAACTCCCAATAAACTCCAGAGCGGTAGGCCAGCAGCCAAGCCAAGGGACCAGCTGGTGGGTCGCGGGGCCTCGATCCGAATCGTGACCTTTCAATGCAATGTTGGTGCGTTACGTGAGTCTGGATATTTCCGTCTAGGTAGGCCTTCAGACCTGAGGCGGTCTCAGTCCCGGTCTCGGTCTTGGTCTTGGTCTCAGCCCAGGAGGCAGGTGCGACTGGCTGAAATCTTGGCATGCGCGCGCATTTTGCAGGCACATCTGGGCCAGACAAAACCTCAACTCCAACTCCAGGGTTGATGGCTGCCGCCGAGGTGCAGACCTGCAACGTCATGGACGTGAAAGGCAAACCATGGCAAACATTTGCATAAAGATTATTTCATCATTTTGTCACTTGGCGCTGTCTCGAGACAAAGGCTTTGACGACAGGTCAAACGTACAATGACTACCCCCACCGCACCGACATAGACGCCTCACATTCCGAATGCTCCAGTTCAAACTGTCTCGTGCCGATTACTTCCAAAGATACATACACGTCGTGCTAAATAAAAATGCATGTTGCCGCATCCCGCCGCGCTCTGCAACCATCCTTCCATTCTCTAGCCGACACATGACATCCCAGCCCACCCGCTGCTATTCTTAGGCTCTCCGTGTTCTACATCAAATGTGCCCAGCCTGGTCCGTGTGTAACGATTGACGACGGGTCGACAATACTAAATGCATGTGACTCGAATGCTGTCTGCTCCATTTGTCACATGGTTAACTTGGCTTACCCTCACTTCACCTCCATACTTGAGACATATATATACGTAGTACTACTAGCAGAGAGTCCGAGACAAACACAAACTATTTTTATCCAAGGCAGCAGCCAACTATTAGGCATCTGTAAAGCTTGGGAATGAAGAGAGGAGCTCTGTGTCCAAAAATACAGTTGGCCCAATAAACCGCTGACCAAATGAGCGAATGACCCGGTCAACCTCAACCCAGTATTGTACAAGGGGTATACCAAAAAAAAATAAAAATAAAAATCTTTGTCATTCATCCTTTACCTGCATCGCCATTTTAAACGGCCGAGTACACCCCGGTAACCAGCCGGCCGCATTCCACCTTTTGCTCCAACGTAACCTTGCGGCCCTTTCCGCCTTCTCCGATACGAACCGTCTGTTTTGGAGTAAGGCAGAGGCGATGCATCTCTCCTTTCCTTCTCTTGTTTGCATCCCCTTCTCCGCCATCCAAAGGTCCAATATATGTTGGTGTGTTCATATTCGTCCTTTTCCCAGTGCCCAATTGGTAGTATTCATTGCCACCCCAGAACAAAACATCAGCACCCCAGTTCGTTTCGTTTTCAGAACCGCTGCTTGACGTGTTTGTTTTCGTTATGTTATCCATGACGGCGGCGCAGTGGGTACTTCCAACACTGAGTGCCTTCAGCTTAATTGGCACGTTCTTGTTTGTCTCCTCGTCAAACTCAAAAAGAGATGAAAGTGCTTTAATCTTTGTAGGCGCGGTGGAAACATGAGTCCATTTGCCAGTCCCTAATGTGCCTGCAACACCTTGACCACACACCCACAGGTCAAACATTGTTCCTGGCATCCGCTTGGCTGGGACCATACTCCGAGACTCAACCGCCGTAGTTGGCGCACTAGCATCAACTGTGAAGAAGGTGTTGGTTCCTCCGGCCTTGATAGACGTGACCTTTGGTACCATCCCCGAGGCGGCATACAGCTTGTCGACAGGAATCATGGAGGGAGTGGTAGCGTAGGGCAGGCCGGAGTCCATTGTGAATCCGAGTTGGCCAAATGTGTTGTCACCAAAGGAGAAGATTCTGCCCAGCTTGTCCAAAATCACCGAATGATAGTCCCCAGAGGCAATGGCCGTCGCTTCAAAGCCCTTTAGCGACAAGAGTTCGTGAGGCTGATCGTATGGACCTTTCGGCCGGGTTTCCCAAGTAAGACCGGCAATTCCCATCTGACCCTTGGAGGGATACGCAATAGCGCTCGAGGCAGCGGTGAAGACACGTCCCTTTGACGTCAACATAATGCAGTGCTCAAGTCCGCTGCTGATGTCGATAACCCTCTCGCCCCAGCCCAAGCCACTTGGTGTTAGGTTGCGGAAGTTGATGGCTTCCTTGCCGGTAGAGCTCCATAATGACCAGGAGCTCTTTTGCCGAGTCTCCTTAACCCCGCCTTCCAGATCGTCCCTGGACGATGGGACAGAGTATACATCACCCTTTCGAGACAAGGCAATGATTCGGTCAGTAGACACCTCGATCTTGGCTAGATCCTTGCCCCTCAGTGTAGTCACCGGCTTCGGGTCACTGCTCGAAAAGCCAAGTCCCCATTGAATCAAGTCGCCCTTCTCATTGACGGCCGCCCCAAAACTCTGGGTGAGCTTCAAATCCCTGAGGATTTGGTCGTTGAAGAAGGATATTCGTCGGGGCAGCTTGACGTACTTATCATTAGACTCCGGGTCGATAACCTTGCCACTGTTTGACCC